AGATCCATCGACGCACTTTCGCGGTATGCTCGCTGAACTCGCCGTTATTGCGAGCTTCCGTCATCGCGATGTGTACACGATATTCTCGCGTCAATTCTTATTTCACCAGGCTCAACGTGCATCGACGTAATTGCTTAATTAAGCCGTATCGTGGAAAAACTACCATTTCACGGCGAGGGCGAACGAGAAGCGCGCAACGCGCGCGAGAGACATTATCGCACTCTCGTAATGTGTGCGCCGCGCGGTTCTCTCACGTTAATAAGTCCCTCCCCCCGCCCCGTAAATACCAAAGACACACGCGTCCGCACGCGTAAGGAGTTTCACCTCGGATTCCCCGCGGGACGAAAATAGAGTGCGCGGCTACGGTGGTGTGCGTTGCGTCGATGCAACGACCGTGTGTGTCGAACCGATATTCCTGTGAAATTATTATAATTTTAGCCTGAGGAATATCGCGCGCGGTCGTGTGTTGTCGATCACGTGCGTCGCGATCTTTCGTCGTTAATGCGACAGCGATCAACAGAGCGAAAGAGCAGCGGCATCACGATGTTTTTGATACATTTATCGCGCTCGAAGAGAAAGAGAAGGAGAAAGAAGATCGCTGTTTTCGCGATCGTCACATTTGCGAGCTGATGAGAAACCCAGGTGGTTCCCACAGTTCGCGGAAACAACACGGCGACTCGACAGTTATCACGCAACAAAGTCGCAGCTGTCGCGTAATCGCAGGAGCAATTTTAACTGCAAAAAATATGCACTTTTATGTGCGACATATTTGTCATTTATTTCTCTCAGAGAATACGACATTTCGACACTGTCCGCGCGCAATTAGTTTGAGTTTTTCGTTTGAGTTTTGCTGTCTGCTTGACATTGAGTCGTCGACGAATTTTTCGTCGGCGGTCGACAGATGTAGTAGAATGCCGTCTCTCACGACTCGTTTCTGCTGAAAAATTCAGCCGTTTATCGAAAGGAAAGTTTATCTTTCTTCGGTCTCTCCGTAGTCTCTGGAATGAAGCCCGGGCGGCGTCTGGAAGCACCTGTGTGTGAGGTACGTTTCGTCCGTTACACGATTGCATGGTGAACACATACACACACACACACACACACACACACAGCTGGCACAAAGGCCGGGCAGTGGGTGCTAATAATACGAACATATGGCGCCGCGGCAGGTGGTACCGGCAATAATAATAATATCGGCAGCTGCTCTTGAATATCGGCGTTTTCACGTACGTTATCGGGATCGCGATTGGTGTGACACTCTCTCCGTCCCAATAGCTTTCCAGAGAGTCATCGAGATCTCTATTCTCGAGCGTCACGGAAGACGAAGGACGCTACGTCGTCGACAGCTTGGCTCGAGAAAAAATCATCCTTTTCACGTGTGTGCATTACGAAATATTTTTTCTAAATCTTTAATCTTTAACTTTGCTTCAATGTGTCTCAATGTGACGCAAAGAAGGCACGCGGACGTATATTGCGCGCGCGCAATATTACGCGCCTTTGTCTATTTCATACACACACACACACACAATTCAATTGCGTTCCGATCGGACCAAAGTCACGAGTCTCCGAAAGTATTCTAAATATAACAGGCGGGCCTGTTCGTCTAGCCGAAAGCAAAGCGTTTTGCGATATTTCCTTCTCCAGTCCTTCACCCGGCCGCGCGCGCGCGCGCGCTGCGGTTTATATTTGGCGTAGGCTGCGCCCGATTCTCTCCATCTCTTTCTCCTCCTCTCTTTTACTCACTCTTTCTCTCGCTCCTCTCATTCTTTTTTGACACTTGCAACTCTCTGGCTTTCTTTTTCTCCTTCTCCCTCGCTTGCACTCGGAATTAGAGATGCTTAAAATGAGCGGCCGGCGAGCGGGGTGAGAGGAACGGAAAGAGGAAAAGGAGAAGGAGGAGGAGTCGCGTTCTCTCTTCCTCTCTCTCTCTCTCTCTCTCTCTCTCTCTCTCTCCGAAGACGTAATGGTTGAAATTGGTCTATCTTCTTTTTAAATAAAAAGAGAGCGAGAGAGGATACAAACACACAGGAGAGTCGACGAAGACCCTGAGGAAACGTAATCCGAGAGGCTACATCCGCATTACTTTTAACCGCGTTTTACGCCACACCGCCGTTTCTCTCCACCGTGTTGGACGACTCGCGCCTCTCCGCGGCCTCGTTAAAATCCTGTATTCGTTTCGCCCGTGCGTCACTCGTACGGAACCGAACTCGAAATAGAACGATATCCAGCGGGATATCGCCGGGAAGGAAGCTTCGGCACAGCAGTCGAGGCGTCTCTAACGGCGGTCCGGATCTATATCGGCGCGATATGATTTCACGCATCTACCCGCCGAGCACCGAAGAAGCCTTCTTCTTCTTCTTCTTCGGTAATTTTATCGGCAAATGAATCGCGCCCGACAGCGAGAGCGAGCGGAACTCGCTTCGTCGCACAACAAGCGCGCATTACATCCCCCAAAAGGGGATGAATTGAAAAGTCCGCGCGAAATTAACCGGGACCTACATTCCGGGAATAATTGAGCGCGCGAACGAACGTCAACGAAAGATCAGCGCGATTAATCCGACGCGATCGACGCGTCCCCTCGTCGGTATTCCGTCGCATGCTCGAGGTAGCCGATTACGTCGCGCCGAGAGGTTACGCCTCCGAGTGACATCCGATAACTAAATCGTGCCGGTATTTCGGTGTCGCATAGCAGTTGCATACGGCACGTGCATTCGAGGGCTGAGCCAACGACGAACGATGACACGTGTGTGCGACCTGCAACGCGCGCTTCGCCGATCGGATCGATGAAGCTATATCGCCGACTGCACGAACGACCAGCGATATCATCCCGACGACGCGACGGAGAAAAGGGGAGAAAGAGAGAGAGAGAGAGAGAGAGAGAGAGAGAGAGGCCATAAGATATTGATTATACTCGGTCGATTGTGTGCGCTTCTTAGAGGAGACTCCAAGTGCGAGTTTTCTCGCGATATCAGTTAATTCTCATCCGTCGAGGATTTTCACGGAGAAATCAGATTGTATCTTTGTGTGTTAAGTTTATGTACGGAGGAGGATTTGGGCGGTATTAGGTAAAAAGTGTCGTCTAAAATTCCCCCCCCCCTCCCGAACGCCGTAGGTTTCGTAGGTTTTAAATTAACTTTAAAACGCGAAACTCTTCTCCTTGTCGCCCTAACCTGGGCGGCCCACCTCGTTTTCTTCTCCTTAATTATCCGAAGTAAGTCACGTCCGCTGATGAACGCAGCTGCGATAGATGCACTGAAAGTTCCTCGCCTTGTATGCGGCCTTCGTATAATCGCGCGCGGCGTGGACGATCGATTGCCAAATTTCCAAGCGAGACGCACGCGGGCTTCGGCGAAGAGCAGCTCGAGTCGAAGCAGTCGCAGAAGCGAATCGGGGCTAAATCGCGGCTATAAGCGCGCGAAACGGCCGATTACACTCGCGCGCGAGTCGCGACGACGAGCGAGTCGCGATTTTCTCTTAATGAGGATTGGGAGAAAATGCGCTTTTACGCGCGACCGCATTTACGCGCGCGCATTTACTGCCGAGCGGAGAAATCTACGCTCGACTCGCGTTAACTTTGCGCACAAGGCGCGATACGCGACAATATCGCACGGCCAATTCTCGGCCGAACGAGACAGAAACGTCTCTCTCGTACGAAAGTTCGGCACAATTTCTCCTCTGCACACCGTACATCACTCGAATGATATATTCCGTTGAAAGAAGCACATGAGCAATGATTGCAACGATGCCTGCTGTCGGTCTCGAATACTCGCCGTGAGAAAACGCCCCTTCGATTTCCCGACTTGGCTTTCATGAATTTTCACTCACCCAGGCGAATCGTAAACCAAATAGTTGCCGCGACCCTAAGTGCGCGGCTCCTCCAGCGGAGCTTTGACTTCTGCTGCGCTAACTAAAGCTTAATCGCAGCCGAAGCCGACTATACGACGAGATTACGACAGTCGTATCAATTACCGAGCGACATCCGTTCGGCATCGCGAATGCGGGTATTAAGTTGCGTCGAGTAAGCTAATAATTATCCGTTTATCGCGTAGGTGGGCGAGACGCTTAAAATTACGCGTTACATCGATACGCGTTACACACCGCAAAGCTGCAACAACACGAGCACCAAGTGTTGGAGTATCGAGTGATCCTCGATAACCAAACTGGTCGGTGCGAAGATCGCGTGGGTGTCGACACTCGGACGACGGTGACACGTGAACGTGTACTTGGTTTCCGTTTCTCCGAAGGTGGCGAGTAATATAGGTCTTCTTGGTCTCGTGGCCTGGTCGTACCGTTCGACCTACTCGCCTCGATCTCTCTCTCTCTCTCTCTCTCTCTCTCTCGCTCTCTCTCTCGCTCTCTCCAGGACACGTCTTTCTCTTTCGTGTTTACTTGCACGCGCCGAGCCGAGAGAGACGAGCTGTCGATCGATTGTCCGCCGAGCAGAGGAGACGAGTAATACGGCGGCAATCAGTATTGTCGTCGCGAAAACGAGCAATCCAACTTTTGCGTGTACGACTGCAACTACGACGACTGATAAGCGAGTGACCGATAACCGCTCCAAGTTCTCGCGACGCGCGACAAGAACGACATAGTATCCGACCAAGTATCGATGTTTCAACGACGCTTATTGCAAGAGACACATTGGAATATTTGTGGAGCACTGTTATGCTGCAACAATCATAGTCGCGCAAATGTCGGAGGCTCAGCGTGTTCTTCAGCGTGCGTGATTTTCGCGTGAAAATTGCCAGAGCGCGTGAAGCGAAAGAAAAATCCGCCGACAGACACTCGCCCCTCTATCTTTATCATCAATTCTCTCGGGGCCACGTAGCGCGAGAAGGAAACTCCTGCGCGCTCCCTACACCTCGTTAGAAAGCACGTTACAATTTATTTCGCACGAGAAATCAGCGGCGCCCTTCGATCGCCCTGCGCGCATAAATCACATCGGGTTACCCAGTCTCGACTTGATGATCGAACAAGCGCGCCTTTTTTTGTCACTTTTGCAGACGCCGAGGGGAGATGACAGGACCACGTCGAGCCCTGGCGTTCCCAGCAACCACATCCCTGCGTTGTCACCGTCGCCGGTGGGTGACGCGCCCTTGGGAAGAGCGCTCATGGAAGCGGCTCTGCAGCAGCAAGTCGCATCCGGTAGCCAGCCGCCCTTAGTGGTCACGCCATCCGGATACTGGGTCGACGGTACCGATCACCGACATACCCTCGACTCGGCTGGCAGAGCGTTACTACCAGCGCAACCGGCTTGGCAACCTAGGATAGATCAGGACGATACGGCCAAATGTTACCGTCGCTTCTTCGTCGGCAGGGTGAGTCTTTCGTCTCAAAGAAAAGAAGAAAAAACATATATTATAGAGGAGTAGCGGCAGGTACAGAGAAGAGAAAATCGACAGTCCGTTCCGGTCCGTTACAGCCAGGCGCCAGAGAGCCAGGTTGGCGCGTCGCGACTTTGTCTCCGCCCGTTGTCGGGGCCCGAGAGTGACACTAGGATGTTCCATTGCGAGTGAGAGAGGTTGACATAGAATGGTGCTTAGTACTTGCGCTTGTAGCGATTGAGATAATTTACGGCGAAAGAACCGACACGACTCGTGACGGGGGGAGGAGGGGGGGGGGAAGGGGACGTCCAAGCGACAATGGACGGAACGGAAAGGAGAGAGGTCGCACTTATTAAAAGTGCACCGTTGTATTCTTCCTTTCCGGGAATGTAACGGACCACCGATGAGATCGCGTGCGACGCGAGGTCGGTGCGTATTTTTCTTTTCCCCTCGGAGCCGTCTGGACTCGAGTTCTCGTAACGAGGCTGCTCGGAGGAAACCGGAGGCAGTAGGAAGTAATGTAACGGGAGGACCTTTGAGTCTTGCGTGCATGAGCGAAATTGAGATGTCACCGAGACGAAGACACGAGCAGGCGCGCGGGATGATGACCTCGGGTGGGCATCGAGATCCGGAAATACCGACTCTCTTCCCCCCCCCCCCTCTCTCTCTCTCTCTCTCTCTCTCTCTCTCGCTCGCCTCGCGTTCCCTTTATCATGCGCTTCATCCTCGCCGCGTTGTCGCCTCTCGAACGATTCACCTCGTCGATCATGATGGCATCATCGTCAGGGGAGGGGGGCGCCGCGAGGCGTCGTTTCGCTCCTGGTGCCACGTATTCTTCGCGGGTCGCAAGAACGTAACCGCGACGAGCCGCGATCGCTCAAGCGCGAGTATGCACGTAGGTGTGCGAGGAGAAAGAGGGACGCACACGTCGGGAAGAAGAGGACGATGCCGAAGGGTGAGAGAGAGAGAGAGAGAGAGAGAGAGAGAGAGAGAGAGAGAGAGAGAGAGAGAGAGAGAGAGAGAGAGAGAGATAGAGAGAGAGAGAAGGAGTCAGGGAGAAGAGACACGAGGAGGAAGAGTCACGGCGCGGGGCGAGGACGAGGCGCGGAGAAAAGAGGCACGTAGGAAAAGGAAAAGAGCACTTTGGACGTGGGAGTGGGAACGTTCTCATAGTCGTCCACGGCTGAGTCCGATGGCTGGAACATCCTCCTCGCCTCCTCTCTCTCTCTCTCTCTCTCTCTCTCTCTCTCTCTCTCTCTCTCTCTCTCTCTCTCTCTCTCTCTCTATCTATCTATCTCTCTATCTATCTATCTATCTATCTATCTATCTATCTCCTCTTCCTTCTCCTCCGACATTCATCCACGTCGTTTTCGCAATTCCCGCGCGCGATTTTCTTCCGCTTGTGAGCTCTCCGCCGCCCTCTCTCTTACTTACCTACCTACCCATCCACCCACCTACCTACCTACCTACCTACGATACCTGCCCACCCATCCCTCCGGCTCCTCTTGTTTCCTTCCTTCGTCCACGTCGAATCGTCGTCACGACATGTCGAGGAAATGACGGGAGAGGCGCATCACGAACAGAAAGAGAAGGAGAGAACGCGAAGGGATGAAAGAAAAGAGCGTGCGCGCGCGATTTAATGCGCGTATAAATTGCGCGCACGATGCCTTTAAGCAGAGAAAGGGCAGACACGAGACAGCACTGCGCGCGAGTCCATCGGCAACGAGAAAGAAAGGGCCCGCGCTGTGTATCGCGCGAGCTTGCGAAAAGGTACGGAAAATGGGAAAACGCGGTCGGCGCGATTGAAAGCTCGCTCGTATCGAATACTTGCCGATACGAGCGATGTATCATGGACACGAATCATTTTCATTCGCAGCAAATTTCCATCTGCGTTCCACGCGTCGTCGTCGTCGTCGTCGTCGTCGTCGTCGTCGTCGCATACGCTGCGACACGAGCCCTTGTTCGGCTGAAAAAAATTCTATTTTCACATCACGATTATTACATCACAGAGGGAGATTATCGTTTACTTGTGATTATAGCGTCGCACGTTTCCTCGCGAAAATATCACGCATTATCGCCAACGTGCGACAGCGCGGCTGCAACGTAGATCCGCCAATTAACGAATCAAATGACGCGTCCTGTAAGAAAGAGAGCGCGCTATTTTCCGCTTCCGGCCTTGTACACTTTTTCTAGATAAGGCTCGACGGATGAGTTCCCGTTCCGCCTATTGTTGCCCGCATGCGTTACCTTTCGCTCGGTTCGCACCTCGGTTTTCATCTTTCCGACTTGTAACGCGCGACGAGAGAGAGAAAGAGAGAGAGAGAGAGAGAGAGAGAGAGAGAGAGAGAGTCCTCTAACTTTGTGAAGGGAATACTCAAGGAAATGCTAAACAACAAACGACAAAAAGTGTCGGATATATAAAACCGAGGGATCGATTTATGTACCAACAGACTGAGATGAAAAATTCTGAAATTTTTCATCGTTTTCGAGCAGTGCTCCAATTTATCTCTGTCCATTTTCGTCTCGTGGCGCGCACGTAAAACACAGTACGTAGTATAGATACAGCTTCACCAGCGACTATGCAACTGCTAATGTATCGCGTGTCCCGGCCGCGTAGTGACGCCGTTTGCTACGAGCGTAGCGAGCGCAAGAAAGAGCCGGTGGGTCGCACGTGGAAGAAAGAGGCGATTACCTCTGCGAGATAACAACGGTGCGCGAGTAATTCGAAGCGTAACAGCGAACGGCTACACCTCGAAGCCGATCATAACGGCTAACGATATTAATCGAGTGCCGAGAGAACAAAGAGGGACGCACGCGCGCGCGCGCGCGCGCGGCGTTACAGAGTAAAAGTCCGTTGCTTATACAATAGGAGGGCGCGCCGTCGGAGTTCGGAGCGTAGCAACTCGCGACTCGCGGGCGTTATTCTCCTGCCATTTAACAGCGATTCCTCACGATAAGGAAGAACCAAGAATACCCGATGATGTTCCACAAGTGCCGCGTGTTCCGCGTGTGGCGCGACGTAAAACAGCGCGACGAGAGCAACGAAAAACGCGGTCGGCAAGATTAGGCGAAGAGTACGCGGCATTATCTTTGCCCCCCGAGTTTATCGCCCGAGTCGAAGACAGAATTATGTCATCTCGTGCATCATCGTTTACAACTCACGCAACTCACGCTTTATATCAATTTACAATTTGTAGCAATAGGCTAGATCAGAATTCGTCATTATAGTTTCCGATGGTAGGTGGTAGAGACGCACGTTACGCGCGACTCGGCTTACGCATTTTTATGCACTCGATAGACACACACACGACGACTGCGCGACACACTTTTGACGCTGCACGCGACAATATAGCAACGACGATAATAATAACGGATGTACAACATACAAGAAAACTCGATGGCGTGAACTCCTGTGAACCCCGAGCGCGTTGCCCTTTCTACTCCCTCCTCTTTGCCGCATTTCCACCCGAAGGTTGGTCAAACACGAGGAAGGGAGTTAGTGTGTGCGTGCGCGTTTCATCGTGTGTGCACCATTCCGCGACCCGACCTTTCGTGCGTCTTTCTAAGCTAACCGCCGACATTTTTAACCGACGTGTATGATGCACGGTTAAATGATGCACCGTTTTTACCCCCTTCTTCCTCCCCTCCTCCCCCCCTCCCTCCTTGTTATCAACGACCTCGTACGCGAACAGGTCCTCGTAAAACAGAGGAAACGAGTCGCTTTTACCTGCATTCTTCGTGAGAAAAAGTTCTGTCCAATCTGAGAAGCGAAAGGACAGGGAACCGTCTCGACTGAATTTTCTCTCTCTCTCTCTCTCTCTCTCTCTCCCTCTCTCTTATTTGTTACCTTTTGTTATCGGATGATGTAATTACAAGCGTCGAAATAGTGCGCCTACCCACGCATTTGAAACAAATTAAATATACCTGACTTTACCGAGGCGGTTTCTTTCGTTCCGCCGACGAAATTCCGCCGATAGTTTTGACATACAAAATAACACGACGACAAGATTTTTCCTTTTTCAAGATTCGTGCGGTCAAACTTGTTTCGATACAATGAGTGTGACACTCGTTCGTGTCCATTCCCCGTCGCTGATGGGAATAATAAATGTCCGGAAAAAACCGATCGGTCTTTCGTTTCTCAGATATGAGATGCACGGACGTGGCTTTTCGGAATGATAACAAAAACTAGTCTAATCGCTTAAGCTCACCGTTAAAGCACACATCTGCGCCATACGTTTCGCATGCCCCCGATACGTCTTACCGCCGTGAGACACACCGTGTATACGTACGCAGGATACAAAACGCGCGCTGACTATAGTTCGCAAAGCGTGCCTGCGTAACACGGTGCGTTCAGGGCCGCAACCACCCACATATTCGATTCATTCGCCGAGATTTCGCAATGTCCAATTGAATCCGGAACGTGCAAACTGCAACATAATTGGTCTAACGTGTGTCGCGTCGCCGTGCTCGCGCATCGAGCGTATCGTTCGTCAACGCGTCTCGCGCTCTTTCTTCTCTATTTAATGCGTACATGTACAGGAATGATTCAGCTCGTTGAATTTCGCCCCGTATTCGTGGCGAGCGAATGTCTCGAGAGTGTCGTGACGTTTGCGTTCCCGTTTTTTACAGGAATCTCTTTGCGGAGATTTTAATGTTGAAAAATTGTCAGAGTAATCTCTCGCTAGAAGAATCACCTGTCCTCCTCGCTAATATCGATAATGTTGCGCGTAAATTTTACTCGAATACTCTGAGGTAATCTCGCTTAATAAAAAATTAATGATTAATGAAAAGAAAATTATGCCGGGAGAAATTTTGGGCGGGTTGGCGAAATTTTGTTGAAAATATTACTAAAAATAACATCGTCGCGAGAAAATTCTTCTGGGAATTCGCCGAAAGCGTTACGTCGGGCGAAAAAAATTCTTGACACAAATTTTCCATCCGCAGGAAATGACCTGCCGACGGAAAATCAACCTTTCCGCTCCAACCTGCTATTTCGACTTAAGGTTACCGTTCTCCTCTTCCGCTTTGACTACTGTAAATTTTTCCGATATTTCGACGATCGTTCTCCGATGTGCGAGGGCTCGATCGCGCCCTCCGTTCCTCCGGGAAAACTAGGAATCGTGGCTGATTGCGTTCGTAATTAATGCGTGACCGTGAAATGCCGTGTCTTTTATCGCTTTTTTTTCTGTCCGCAGGAACACGTGAACCTCGTGGGACGGGACGGTGAGAACGGCCCGATCCTGGTCTCGGTGAAGGCCGAGACGGTCGCCGGACAGGAACATTGGCGGGTGTTGTTGCGACTGCGAGCGGGATCGACGCACGACCTGGTCCCGGCTGCGAATCTCAGCCCGAATCCTACGCCGACGAAAATGGTCAAGGTAAAGCCATTCACTCGCGACAACGCGTTATACCTCTCCTCTCCTTTCTCCTTTCGGACGAGTATTTCACGTGATTTCGCGGCGAGTCGAGCGAACGATTGGATTTCTCTGTACGGCGAAGGAAAATCGAAACCAACGTTGCTACGTCATCTCAAGAATCCTCCGTTTTACCAATAAGATCGATGAAAATCAATCGAGAAGCGTGTGCACCTGTGTCAGCGGTGATTCGCGATATTCACGGATCGATCGACTGAAAGCAAAGCGAGGAGAGCGAATTCGCTTGTGGAATTACCGCCGAAGTGCATATTAAATTACACGAGGGACACGTGTGTCTCTCGAGACGCGAACGGATCGAAACAACTTGGAGAACGCACGTGCAGGTTTATCAGAAGACCGTGAGAAAATCAATGCACAACGATAATGTATTTAAAAGTTCATTCGTATCTCTGTTACGTAGAACTAAATGTGAAAATACTCTTGTTTCGAGAGGAATATTTATACGTCACAATTTGGAGTGGATACGTTAATTAAATTTTAAAAATGCGTTTAAATTAATGCATTAAAATTACAAATATTCATAGATTGGAAATTTATCATGTCTCTCTCTCTCTCTCTCTCTCTCTCTCTCTCTCTCTCTCTCTCTCTCTCTCTCTCTCTCTCTCTCTCTCCCCCCCTCTCTCTCTCTCTCTCTCTTTCTTTCTCTACCTATCGTTCTCTTGAGAATAGGTGAATTATCGCGCCACCGACTTTTGAATTTTTCACAACATTCTTCATATATTGCACAAGAATCACATGCGTTTTTACTTTTGAGCTATCGAATCTAAATATACGTGGAGTTACATCACCTCGCTGTTTACGTCGCCTATGTAAAGGGTGTCCCAAAATTCACGCAAGAAGTAATTTTGATAGAAAACACAGTTTTATAATTAAAAGTTGTAAATTTTTTATTGATTCATAAAGTATACAGTATAGGGTTATGTATGGAATAGCATGTCGGGTAAATGGCCTCCACGGCTTTGCTGGCACATATGCACTCTTTTGTTGAAATTTTCCATGACCGTTTTGCATAAATGTGGCTGAATTTCGTTGATACTCGGCGCTCAATTTCCTCCTTCAAGGCGTGATGGGTGGTAGTGGGTTTATTGGCATAAACCTTAGACTTCAAAAACCCTAAAGAAAAAAGTCGTTACGGCGTTAAATCGCATGATCTGGGCGGCCAAATCTGATCACCAAAACGGGAAATTACACGACCAGGAAATGACTCGTGCAGGAATTGAATTGTTTCTCGGGCTGTATGGCATGTGGCACCGTCTTGTTGAAACCACATGTCGTCCACATCCATATCTTGCAATTTAGGCACAAAAAATTGGTTTATCATGTCGCGATAGCGAGCACTATTAACTGTTATTGCCTGACCAGACGCATTTTCGAAGAAGAATGGTCCGATGATGCCTCCAGCCCAAAATCCGCACTAAACAGTGACACGTTGTGGATGTATTTGTTTCTCAACAATCACTCTGAACCCCAAATGCGACAATTTTGTCGATTAACCAAGCCATCAAGATGAAAATGAGCTTCATCGCTGAAGATGATTTTGTTCGAAAAATCAGCATCCACTTGTTGTTGTTCCATAATCCATTCAACGAACTCTCTTCGCTGTGGCCGTTTACCCGATATGCTATTCCATAACCCTATACTGTATATTTTATGACCCTGTATACTTTATGAATCAATAAAAAATTTACAATTTTTAATTATAAACCTGTGCTTTCTATCAAAATTACCCTTTCTATCAAAATTACTTTTTGCGTGAATTTTGGGACACCCTTTATATCAGGCGGCGCGCTCGATTATCGGATATGTTTGAAGAGATAATAAGAATGCCTGGGACAACAGTCGCGTAGTGTTTACGCGATATAATACCAGCGAAATGAAATGTTTGCGGATTTAGTTTTCCGAAGCTGTTTTAAGATCAAACAATTACAACGTTGGCGCGCAATCGAGTTGGCCTCGCACAGGTGAACTGCAGGTGAGCAGAAACGCGCGCGCGCGCGAGGTCTTCCATTCGTCTCGTCTCCGTTCTCTCCATTATTATCGTTTTCGAATTATCAAATGTGGTCGGATGACAGCACGCTCGTTGCGTAAATACACACTCACCTGGATGCAACCTTGCCGCAACGGAAACGTCAAACCATCGTCGTCGCACGACATCGTCGTAGTAAGGGCAACCACCGCAGGGACGAGTCCAAACTCGAGTTTACCCACGTTCACAAATCCGATCAAAATAAGGAAAATATTGAGTAGAGTTGAACGAAAATGAAACATCAAGTTGATGGAAGCGAGTAGTAGTGTCAAATTGTGTGTGCCTTAGAAACGAGAAAAGGATAAAATGGGCAAAAGAAAAAATGTGCGAGAACTATAGTGGGAGGTCATTTCGGTGAAGCACACCAAAGACATAAAAGTCACGAGAACTCAACGTTACGGTTGAGAAAAGTACAAAGAATAATGGTGAATAATAATTGCTTAAGTTCGAGATACGACGGGAACGTTATATTTAGCTTTGGTTTTCCGTCGGTGCGCAGAAACGTGCTGTGAATTATTTAACCACCGTTGCGGCCATGTTTGTATGTGCTTTATCTTTCAGTTGTTACGTACACCCGCGATCGTGAACGAGGAAGCGGGAGAGAAAGATATGAAGAGAGAGAGAGAGAGAGAGAGAGAGAGAGAGAGAGAGAGAGAGAGAGAGAGAGAGAGAGAGAGAGAGACAAGCGTGTCAACGCGATAAAGCACAGGAAAGACCTTGACTCGCGTTTTTCGTAATCACTCGTCGACGTTACATTAACGCATGCTCGCGTGTCAACACAACCGCTGTGACGTTCTTGCAGGCGATCAACGAGTCCTTGAACGTGAACACCCTGATGCCGGTCATGTGCCCCGGCGCCGGCACTCTGATAGCCCGATACGACGAGCACGCACTCGTCTCTAGGTTCAAGTTCGGCGTTCTTCATCAACGAGCCGGCCAGGTGACGGAGGAGCAGCTCTTCGGCAACCGGCAGATCACGCCGGCCTTCCAGGAGTTCCTCGACCTGCTCGGTCAGAAGATTGATCTCAAAGATCACAAGGGGTGAGATAGATCCCATAGATGTTCGATTTTCTTGATATATCTCTCTTTCTTGCTTGTTCGTATGTACGTACGCACGTTTGCATCTTGTCTTTTCTAATCTCGATCGCTTCTCTTCAGCTATCGCGGCGGCTTAGACACGCGACACGGTCAGACCGGAGACTCGGCGGTGTACGAGGTGTTTCGCGGTCGCGAGGTGCTGTTCCACGTGGCGTCGCTGCTGCCGTATAGTCCCGGCGATTCGCAACAGTTGCAACGCAAAAGACACATCGGCAACGACATTGTCGCGATTATATTTCAGGAAGAACCGACACCCTTCAGTCCGGACATGATCGCCAGCCACTTCTTGCACGCCTTCATCGTCGTGCAGGTCATCGACCCCTGCACTTCTAATACGAGGTATATTCTTAGATTTACGTCGTTGTTTGGTGTACACCTACGGTGTACGGTACGGCTCTTCTCACCGTCGAAACCTGCGATCCATTTACCGCGAAACGTCATATCCGTACAAGAGAGAAGAGGTGGTATGTACTTTGGACGTAAAACGACGATGAGAAACAGTCGCTGGCCGTTCGAATAATAATCACGCTCTCGCGGAGGAGTCGGCGACTTCGATAAACAACTTGAGCCTTTGCTTTCGCGTAAACAGGTACAAAGTCAGCGTGACGGCGCGTGACGACGTTCCCTGGTTTGGCCCGACTCTACCGACACCGGCCGTCTTCCTCAGAGGTGTCGAATTCAAGGAGTTTCTGCTGACGAAACTGGTGAACGCTGAAAATGCCGCGTACAAGGCCGAGAAGTTCTCCAAATTGGAGGTGAGCACGAGTCCAATCTTCGGCACATCGGCTTCTTCCCTTCTTTCGAGCTCCGCTCGAGACGAGAAACTTGCTAGTTTCGCTCGCACCTCTCGCGGTCTCCTCACTTGATTCAAATATCTGATATAATTCTGACTTGGTTTGACTGGAGGATTCCTGAGGAAGCAAATGTGCCACACGACTGACTGTGCTCTTTCCAGCTGCGGACCAGGTCGGCCTTGTTGGAGTCGCTAACGGAGGAATTGCAAAGCAAAACCGCCGAATTCCTCGGCGGACCCGTCGGCCTGAGCGCCTCCGGCTTGAGCGTCTGTCCTGTAAGTCCGACCACGAACGACGTGTCCGCCTCCGGGAGTAGCGGCAGCGGCAGCGGCTCGCGATTCATCGACACCGTTCGCAAGGCACTGATCTCGCGCGTGCGAAACGCATCGACGGAGAGCGTGCCGCAGCAACTGGCGAAGAAGGGTCAAACCACGGAGCCCAGTCCGCCGAGCAATCGGCAATCGAGCACAAAGATAAGCGGCGGTAGCAAGCGCTCGGTGGAGCCGTCCAGTCCTCTCGGCTCGCCGGATCTCACCCTGAGGAGAGACTCGGAGCGCGGTAGTCTGGGTAGCCAAGACAGCAGCTTGTCAAACACCGACAATCAGGACAGCAGCTTGGCGACGCTGCAGCATGACGAGTTCGATCGCAAGGAATCGTCGGCGGGCGTCTGCGTTCTCGACAACGATACCACTGTCGTGGACAAGGCGACAATTACGGTGGCACCGACGTCGACGACGACGATGCAGCGATTCACGCACGAGAGTCTGCTGCGCACGCAGCAGGAACGGGCGACGCAGCAGGATAAAATGACAACGACATCGATGACGACTACGACGACGACGACGATGACGACGGTGATGGCGATGGCAACGGCGACGGCGACGGCGACGGCGACGGCGACGGCGACGGTGCCGATGCCGATGCAGCAGGAGATAATAACCTCGCAACGTGTAATCTCGGAGAGCGATGACAGCTCGCTCAACAGCGAGCTCGAGCTCGATCAGGCCGTGTACCCTGACAGTGACACGGGTCTCGAGTCCATGAGCTCCGCAGAGACCCATGACACCGCCAGGTGCACGACCAAGGACGGCGTCGTGGAGAATGAGAATCTGAGAATGGAAGTCACCAGGCTCAAGTGCGATAAGCTGGATCTTTTGCGGCAGAATGTGGTGAGTGTGAAACTGCAGATTCTTGAAATCTTTCGTTCAAAACGAGCGAGCTTTTCGTACGAATCTTTTTCCCATAAATCTGTTTTTGTCGCTGGCGAGATACTATATCCTTTAGACATAAAACGATGAGGTGTAACAACTAGATTCATAGTCAAGTCTTTGGTCGCTTCGGATTGCAACGAGAGGACCTCGATTCTTGTATTGCAGACATGCCAACGCGAGCTCAAACGCCGTCGAGAGAAGGAACTGCAGTTGGAGTCTGATCTTGCGGCGGCGTCAAAGGAGATCCTACGACTGCGAGCGATGCTGAAAGAGTGTTCCACGAGCATTCCGCTGGACAACAACAACCAACAGACGTCCACCGTGTGAAATTCGCCGACGGACGACGCGCGTTCTCAGTCGCGATTGTAAATAGCGAATGACGAACGGTGCGTCGACCGACAAACGGCCGTCCGATGTCGTCTGAAAAACTGCGCGCGTTTATAGCGCGTTCGGGAACAACGCGACAAAAGAGATTGTCCGGCGCGAAGTTCCTCTCAACGCGCGTTGCAGTCAATTCTGTTCTAATTTGTCTTGCATCTTTAGCCAAGCCGCGCGTTGCAACTCATCTCAACAATCCTCTTTCGCACGTTGCCGCTTCCTCTCGTTTTTATCCGTTAATTTTGCGCACAGTCCAATCTCGAACGAGATTACTCGAACGACGAACGCAAAATGCAATCGACAGAGAAAGAGAGAGAGAGAGAGAGAGAGAGAGAGAGAGAGAGAGAGAGAGAGAAAGAGAGAGGGAGGGGAGGGGGCAGAAGTGAGAGGGAGTCTGACAAATATTCGAAGGGTGAGAGTGGTTGTCTAAATCAGCCATCTCTCACATGCACACTTGTCGTGGTCTCTCGACGTTCGACGAGTCTCAGAATACTTAAAACACCACGTACCTTCCGTTCAGGAATGAAAAATCGCCACTTCCAAAGGTCTACCATAATAGTGCTCCTTAAGAGCAGAGCGTGCGAGTACGTTTTGCGATTTAAATGCTTTACGCCGCGAATTTTGATCGTTTGACGGATTGAATATCCGTTTAGATAGAGGCCGGTACAAGTTCTATGTGAGTCATATACCGAGATAGGATTAGTAGAGATGGCGGCGGTAACAGGATCGGGAAACAGGATCCTCGGCCGCCCCGCGAGAAACTGTGTATAACGACGGAAACGTCCGCGAGACGCAAATGTATTGTAGACTTTGAGATCGTTTAGAGCTCTCGTAGAGAACTCGTACGGTGCACACACACGTAATATTTATCGACTAATTTATTAGTAGACTTAAGTTTGACCGTTCGCAGTCGATATATCAAACGCGGAAACGTGAAGAGGGAATTGAAACATAAAAGAAGAGAGAAAAAGAATTCTCGAAGAGAAGCGACGGCAGAATTAGGTCCTGTCGTTGTACAATTATCGGTAGATTCTTAGTCGAGACGAGACGCGAGAAAGAAGGGCGCGGCGACTGACCGACCTCACCGCGTCAGCGGGCGAAAACGTCGTATTTGTGTGTGTGTGTTACGATTACATGTTAGAAAGTCAATAATAATAGTAATAATACGTAACTCTCCGCTTATTCCTCCGTAGCAGACGATAGATTATATTCGCGGTTATAGAGCGAAAATTTTTCTTCTTTCGGACGCATTAACAATGCGATCTTACGCGCGATCGTTGAGTAGTTCCGCAATTACAGACGGAACATATGTTGCTAGTTGCAGTATTCGCAGTCGTGATAGATTCGCCACCCAACACGCGCACGCAAGCGCGCGCGCACACACGCACGCACACGCGCACACACACACACACACACACACACGCACACACGCGCACACACACGCACACACACGCACACGCGCGCGCGCGCGATAATCTAGTAGCTTCCTAGTATTAGATAGATTCCGTGAGGATAGCTTTTAGCGTGTACCTACGAACGCAAATGCTTCGTTCAATCGTCGTCGATTGTTGTCGTCAAAATGCGCGTCTACGTGTGCTAGTTTTAGAAGGAAAAAAATATTGTTTCCCTCTCGTCCACAGGAAGGAGGGAGGGATAATTCTTCTTTTCTAACGATTCTTCTTTTCATTTTTAATCCGACCGCACCGCACCAAATCGTCTAAGCGCGTGTATCGTGTATTCGCTACCGTTTATCTATTGATAACTTTCTCACGCAAACGGACAGTTGTGTTTATCGTTCGCGCAGTCCAAGTTATAATTAGGTATACTTTGCATTCGTTTGGTTTGGTTTGACAAGTGTCGTCCTTCTGTTATCTCTTACGACTATATAGTATTAATATGATTCTTACCATTATTATTATTATTTTTATTATTATTATTATATTACTATTAATATTTTTATTATTATTATTATTATTAGAATTAGTATTAGTATTTTTATATTAACACCGATTATTTGTTATACTTTGTGTAGGAGTTTTGTAAATAACCGTTGAAACATAGGCGAACACTCAAAGGCGCTAAACGATACTACCGGCACAAAGGAGGAACAACGACGTTCACTCACACGTAATACCAAAGTTTAATGTAGTAAACTCGCGCGTTTTTTCTCGCTTTATTTTCCTTACTTTTCTCCTTGTTTTCTTTCCCCGTTCTCCTCTTGCGCGTCTTCCTCTGTTCGTGAATCGGACAGCGTGTGCGACGCGCAATTATCGTTCGAGGTTCCTCTTCTGGCCAAAAACGAAGTATGAACGACAGTCACTTCTCGAGTTGTCGAGAATGCGGGGAAGAGAAGGAACATTGTCTCGCGTCGCGGATACTTTGTTCGAAACACCATTTCTCGTCACTGCCTATGTAACCTGATGCCGCGCGTCGAATGCATGTCGACACTTCCCCTCACGAGAAGAGAATATGCGAGAAAAATCTGTTGCACCGCTTGTGCAAAAGACCGCGCGCTATTCGTTGTAACGCTTCAGCATCGAAACGAGAAAAATTTTGGAAAGCGATTTCTAACGTACTGCCGCTCGTAGTATCGATCATTCGGGCGTTGTCAGATGACGAGAAGAGAAAAAGGAACGAAAACCGTTTCGATGAAGAAGTGATCTCCATCGAAACAAGAGAAGCGAATATAACAGGGACGGGCGAGATATTCTTTTTTTCCAAGTGCCACTGCGAATTTTTCACAGAAACAAAACGCACGACGAGCGTGCACGTACGCTTATCGCGACTCGACGATATCAATCGTAGTACACCGAGAGGAGATACCGAGCGCAGCATGTCGGATGAATTTAGACCGTGATTAAGCAAGTTGCGTCGTCATCGCGTTGTTATCGAGTAGAAACTGGGCGATTAGGAACTTTTCCAGACCAATATCTTTACGTTTCTGCATTTCTGTTTATCGGTGGAGAAACAATGATTCTGTCATCGGCAATATTGATGACAGAATGATAGAGAACCCCTTTTCTCATATGCGTATTATCGTATTGAAAAATATTCGAAGGCTTGCGGAGCATATTTTCTGACAAATTCTGTGTTTCTTCTTGCTCTTCTTCTTTTTTCTCTATCTCCGCTAGGAGATAAAACAATTGAGAGAGAAGCGACGCTATAGCAAGTAGACGCGCAAAGTCGAATGGCGAATGATGCGACGAGAGAGAGAGAGAGAGAGAGAGAGAGAGAGAGAGAAAGAGAGAAATTTCATAACACGAGAAAATAAAGAAAATTACACGCGCGGTCTATTTCATTTGTGATTTTATTGTTGATGTTATGTTCGATAGAAGGAGGCCGATCGAATATTTGTAGAAATGATTAAATGATTTCGGGGTCTAAATGGAGATAATCTAAGATAAATGGAAGATAAGCCAAAGAATATACCGAGGGAAATCGACGACGAAATCGATCTCGAGTCCGAGCGAGCACGCGCACACCTGCACGTTATCAAAAAGTTAAAAGAAAAAAAAAGAAAAAAAGAAAAAACAAAAAGGGAAGAGAGAAAGAAAGAAAAAGAATGATCGTTACCGACATTAATGTAGAATATGTATAACTTGAGTATTTTCGGAGATGTCTTATACTTATATCTATACTGTTAGATATCTGGAGAATTTATATTGCTACTATATTGTATTTAATACTCGCGTATGTGAGGAACTTTAGGGACTTCCTTACCTTCTACCGATGTACATACGTAAACGAGAATTGCGTTCGATTCGGGAAGAGGTCGCCAGATCTTCGTAGAACGCGTCTCTTCGTCTTAAAGTCTGGAAACTGAGTTTCACCGCTCTCTAGTGTGATTTTTATGCTGGCCTTGAAACAAAAAAAAGAAGAGTCAAAGAAAGATTATATTATAAAGAGATATTCACGTTATATTATATTACTAGATGAGAAGAAAGAAACGAGAGACAGAGGGAAAGAAAAGAGGCGAGAAGGAGAAGAGAGAGAGAGAGAGAGAGAGAGAGAGAGAGAGAGAGAGAGAGAGAGAGAGAGAGAGAGAGAGAGAGAGAGAGAGAGAGAAATACTATAATATTCTATAGATATACAAATATATTTTGTATCTAACATTAATCACCGATACTTCTACAACCAGCTCGTCTGTGCTGTCGAGTGTGTGCTATCACTCTCCTATACTGAGAATATACATACGTTTCCTACGACATGCGTGAAAAAAAGAAAAAAAAATGGATTCCGATTTTCCGTTTCAATGTCCGTACTTTTGATGTCGACAATCACGGGTATATATGTGAGCGATGTCTACCAACTACTCTAGCGGACTATCTTAGCGACATACATTAGCGGACACGTCATCGCGATGAGAGACGCGATGCGTGACGATGCTTTCGAAACTATACAAAAGTCGCATTTTTCAGAAGAACAAAAGAGGTCGGAAGAGCGCCAAGGAAACTTACTACTGACTGTGTAATTCCTGTGTTAAACGTACTTTGCGAGCCGTGTGAGAATATACACATACGTACACGTATACACAAAGCACATGCACAAGCGCGGGGATCTTTTCGATAAACTCTTTGTTTTTCTCATTCGAAAACGCACTCGAACGGACCTCCCGCGTCGTTAGAGATTTATATTTCTGTCTTTGCAATAAGCTCGAACAAGAACAAAAAAAAAGATACAAAAGAGAATATTTGAAGGTTTAAGTTTATCGTTCAAGCCGAGGTTCATTGCGAATTGCTTCTCGAGCAATGAGAAGAAAGAGACAATAGTAATTTCGTATTTTCCCGGAAACAATATATATAAACGCGAAATATGTATGTATCCGCGTAAAAGCAAATACGCGCAGAAAACCGCAGGATACGCGAATGTATCAATTGTTTCTTTTGTACACATACACACACACACACACACACACACACCAGACGCGCGCGCGCGCGCGCGCGGCAGTTAGTCGTTAGTAACTCTTGGAAGCACAATTACAATGTATAAGACACCATAGAGAAATATGCACCAAGTAAACGCCAATTAAAGGGAGATTAGGCCGTAAAACTCAATGGGAGGTACTCGAAACTCCTCGAAACTGTAATCGAGTACTAAAATCTCTCGCGAGGTCGCGTTACACCGAGAAACTGCGTAGACGCGCGAATAGTGCACGCTCTCTGTATGACAAATTACAATGTCAATATATAAACAATCGCGAAGAGCCATATGAGGAAAGACTCCGGTTATTGGAGTAGTATATGTATATGACCGCATACACGCATTATATACAGAGAAAGGAGCAGAGAAAATAAAGAACGCAAAGCAACAAGTGTAACGATCCCGTGTGCTCTTCAACGTACGTAGGCGTGCATGTTAACCTCGAAGAATCTTTTCTTTTTTTTTCTTTTTTCATGATTCACGGCAAATCTTTTTCTATTACGGAGCGACATCTCTTACCGGTTGAAAGAAGAGAATTCCAGAGAGAAATGTTCAGAGAAGCGATAGAGAAATTTTGCCCCGTCGCATGCGCGCAGTGGAACGTTCGTCGCGAGTGCCCATTTTGCAAAGAGATATCGATTCTCGAAATTCGATCGTTGCCGATCGAGAGTATCGATCGCTCGCCCGGTGAGGGGATCGATTCCGATTCGTCGATCGAGCGTGCATAATTTGGCGATGAGAGCAAGATCTCGTTTCGGGAAATTTCGTCCCTTCGCGTTTTTCAACGAGACGCGCGTTTCACTCTCGTCCCGTGTTCGGCCTTTCGTTGGAATCTTCGCTCTGCTTATTTCGTTGCTTGAGGAGCAACGCAGTCACCGAGAGGGCGCATCGAGCGGTACGGCGATGTATGCACGAAGCTACGCAAACTCCCGTTTGAGAGCAACGCCGCGCGCGCGCGCGAGCGCGATTAGCGGGTCCTGGGGGTCCTCGGTCCTCGGTCCTCGATACTCTCGATAGTACGGTCTCGGTGGCCGACCGCAGTAGGCGCGCAACAGCAGCTCGCTGGCCGCCGTGCGCGGAGTTGCTGTTACTACGTTTGTATCGTTACCAACGGCACGGGGGAGTACCCGGAGGCTCGGCTGACCGTGTACACCACAGGCACAGGCAGGTAGACGGCTGGACAGGCGGAGCAGCGGAACGAAAATGGCCAATTGTCAGATTGGCTGGTGCAGCAGGTGAGCGATCACAGATTCGGCGTGGGTGCGTGCGTGTGCGTGCGTGCCTACTTGCGTGCGTGTATACATTTGTGTGTGCATT